TATATATATATATATATATTTAAAAAAAAAAAAAAAAAAAAAAACTAGATATGTATAATGATGTAAAATGCAGATACTTGGCTCCAGAGTATGCATCAAGTGGGAAATTGACTGAGAAATCAGATGTATTCTCGTATGGTGTGATGGTCCTTGAGCTCATAACAGGACGTCGACCCGTCGATGCAGCCCTCATGGAGGATAGTTTGGTCGATTGGGTCCGTTTCTTCGATACCTAGCTTTTTTGATGCCTTAAAAACATACAGAGAGAGAGAGAGATGCTCATATTAATCACTCTTACTCTTGGGTTAGTTTTTTCAATTCCTGCTTTAATGCTTCATTAAAAACATGGTTTTAAAAGTTTCTACAATTCCTAGCTACTTGAAAACAAACATGGAGAGAGAGAGAGGGAGAGAGAGAGACCAGTAGATGTGCATAATCTAATAACCAAAGTGATTGTATACTCTTTGCAAATAGTTAGCTTTTTCCTTAAGAACGTTTTGTGTTTGTTTGAGAGAGAGAGAGAGAGATGATCGCCTCTTGATGTTCATCTGCCAACACGTGCCTTGCACTATCTATACAGGCACGGCCTCTCCTCACACGTGCATTAGAAGACGGTAACTTTGACGAGCTCGTCGACCCTAACCTAGGTGACAACTACGATGTTGATGAGATGGCACGCCTCATCGCTTGTGGTGCTGCGACCGTGCGCCACTCTGCTCGCCGCCGCCCCCGAATGAGTCAGGTGTCTTTTAGTTGCATGTCATTTATTCCCATTTATCATTATATATTGGATAAACTTTTTATGTGTTTCTACACACATATAATTTATACGTGGTAAAAAGTATCAAATGAATTAAAAAATCACTCTTATTTATTTTCTCTTTCGGAATTGATATCGATTTGTTACCTATTATATTAGTATTTGTATTTTAGTGTTTTAACTTTTAATCATTAATTCATGTGAAGTTGCTTTAGACGATGAGGTGTTTAAATATTTGTTATCAGATAATGAACAATTAAATCTACAGGAATATTTGGTTGCATACAATGTGAACTCAAATTTTTATCAGATTTCTCCGATTCTTTTCCAAACATTAAAAATCTTAACAAAGAGTGAGTTTTCCATAAGTTCATGGTCTGCGCATGGACTACACTCAGACAGGATATGTAGTAGTTATCAAGATCAGGCTGAACCAGCCGGCTCGACAGGCCATAGGGTCTCTAAGTGCCTCGACTTGTCTATACAATACAAAGCAAAAATCAGATTTAATCGATAACCAGTCAAATCTAATCTTTGACTGATTTTGTCTGCTGGGACCGGCCGATCTCACTCGGCTAAATAAAGATGAGCAATTTTTTCAATATGTCTCATTATAGTGGATCAATATTTCTACTTTTTTATTTGTTCTTGAATTTATAGTTAATGACTAGAACTAATTTTGACTAGACCAAGTCTCGTACTCCCTTAACCAGTAGGGAGAAATCACATCTCTGAAAACCATATCCACCCCCTTTTATACAAATGACTTTTTAATTTGAGGACCCAAAATGTTGCCGAAATTTCACCGAAATTTCACCTATTTTTTGGCAGATTGTGCGTGCCCTAGAAGGTGACAGCTCGTTAGATGACTTAAATGACGGGGTGAAGCCGGGCCATAGCCGCGTGTACGGGTCATATGGGAGCTCAGATACTGAATCCGGATCATACACCTCAGATGTGAAAAGATTTCGAAAGGTCGCTTTGGCAAGTCAAGAATTTGGAAGCAGTGAGTATAGTGGGCCCACCAGTGAGTATGGCCTCCACCCTTCATCCTCAAGCAGTGAGGGCCCACATTCTAGAGAGATGCAGCCCACTAGGCCCATTAGAAAAATCCCATGAATTTCTCTCTCTAAAACTCACTGATCATCTCTCTTCTGTGATATAAAGCTCAATAATGGTTTGTTGTTGTTATAGGGTTATTGAGGGTAAAGTGTGATTAGGGGTTTGTTGATGGAGGCCATTGTTCTTTGGTTTCTCTCCCTTATTGCTTTTGTTGGTTGGGTTTCTCTCTCTTACATTTTGTTGTGTGAAGTGGTTGGTAGACCTTGGGGTCTATGTTGGTGGTGTGCATCTATCTACCAAGAAAAGACATGGATCCTCGTAATTGGTGGGGCAATATATTCTTTTGTTCTTATGGACTTAAAAGGGTGGAATACATTCACTTTGTCCCCAGTTTTGTTTGACCAATTTTTGGGTTTGAAGATGAAATTTTGTAGGGAGAATATTACATGCTCCTGCAGAAGCAAATTGTACATTTGTTCCCTTATTACAACCCTGACTAGGAGTGTTTTTAGGAACCTGAAATTTTGGGAATGTAACCTGATCAACGACCACATTTAGATCCGGCTCTACCCAAAATTTTCTGGTTCACCCCAACATTACCCACTTGTCCGACTGTTGCTTAGCAGTTTGTGGATATCAAACGAACCTCCCCACATGGTGATCTTAATGTGGCCCATTTACCCTCTTTTGCAATCAATTTCGCTACAGCACCTACTGCCGAATGACCGACCTAAAAATGTAAAAATTCAATGAAAGTATTTGAAGATAATTATGTTTTAGGACATGAATGAGGTGGCTTAATTTTTAAATAGTTAGATCTAGAATTACACAATTTACTGTTTATAGAAATACCTCAAGTCTCAGTAGAATATGTGATTGTGGCATTAGATAACTTGCAAATTGATCATCTTTGATTGTGGCATTAGAGAATTTGCAAATCGATCATCTCCTTCTCAATGATCATGGATCTCTTACTCTATGATAACCAAGGTTGTCATATGTAGCTCCATGTCACAAAGTGTGCCTTACTTCAATACTATAAGGCTATAAGCTTTGCGCCTAATATAAACTTTTACCTTAATTGAATGATGTGCTTATAGTTGATGCAATATATGATCCTTTTATACTCATTTTCAAAGGTGAACAAGTTCATGTCCCTGTTTTAAAACACCATTTACAGGAAGAATTTTCTTGAATTTGTAGCTTTGATGGAGCAAAAGAAAACCATCTTTCTATTTTACGAATTTCCTTTAGACATTTGTGTTTGTGTTCTGCAATATTTTTCTCTAGTCGATGTTTGTTTGATAATGTTACTGATTGGAAGATAAATCAATATTTGATACTATGATTTTGTACGAGGTTTTTGAGCGTGCAATTTAGAGACTCAAAAACTATAATTTTGATATGATTGTGTCCTAAAGGTGTACTTGTCGGGATTGATTGCATCTCGAAATGTTGCGGAGTCGGACATGTTCAACACTCCGAAGAAAGAGTCCATCTCGCGCATCTAAATATGTTGTTGTCCTGATAAACCTCCGAAACTGGGAATAAGATTATTGTTGTACTAATAACCTCTGAACCGGATCTAACCCTTTCGAGGGTTAATTGGGAATAAGAGTGTTCTTGTCATGATAAAACTCCCAGGCTAGACATAAGCCTCCTGTGAGTAAATAGGAAGTTGGACTTTTTAGATATTCAAAGTGCAAATTAACTCTAGTTAAGGGGAAACCCTGTCGAAATTTCATTGCAAAGGAGTCCAAAAATAAAATAAAAATAATTAGCAAATTCAAATTTAATTTAATTACTTACTTGGTTGGCTACATGAAATGTCATCAAGGAAATTATAGAAAGAAAGCATTACTAGTAACCTGTTCCTTTCAAGATAGTCAAAGGAAGCTCACTTAAACAATATTAATTTTCTTTTCTTTTTTGGTTTTACTCAAAGGGAGCTCACTTATTTAAATAAGTTATTTTATTTGAGGGGTACTATACTGGGCATTGCACTATCAAGACTTAGTGCAAGCTCCTTTATGGTATAATCCAGCAGAATAACCACAATATTTGTCTGACTTCAAGGAGAGAGTATTTTGAAATCTCTCTCTCTCTCTCTCTCTCTCTCTAGTCCGTGGG